CAAGGTTGATCGGCTGTTTTATTTACTCCAACTACTACCGTCTCACTTCGATTTCGCACAAATTTTCGAGGCAATTTTTACCAAACAATCCCGAGGTCTTGAAGGATGACCACAAATGTGTACATTTGGCCTTCATATCTGTACACTTTTGGTGATTAGTCGACTTTGATGTATCGAAGGCGTTTGAGCGGTTTCAACATACGGATCTTACCAACTTTTCATATGTAAGCTGCATCGGATTTCGGGTTAGAAACTTTTTGGATAACCATTCTGTGCAATTACGGATGGCGCCATTCCTCAGAACCGGAAAATCAAAGCTGGAGTTCACCAATGGTCAGTGCCCTCCTCTAGGCGGTTCCTATTTTGAGTGAACGGCCACCTGTTGACTAACATCTGTTCCATCCATGCATTTGCAGATGAAGCTGAGCTCCACTTTGTTCCGTCTTTGTCAGGGCGCGTCCAGACAGAAGAAAAAGTACATGTGAAGAGAGTGACGCATCCCCAAGGTCATCATCAATTCCACACGTCCGGAAATTAGGTGAGTTGGCGGCTCTCACCAAACGGCTTACAAACACACGACCAGCGTAGTGGGCCTGAGAATATTCACGACCGGAACACCACCATTGGCTGTACGGAGCGAACAAGTGAACGAGCATATCTGGCCAATTAGTCATCCTATATATATTTACGCAGACGCTCTGTATGTTTTGTCCTGGCAATACAGTCGTCTCCAGTTCTCTGTCTTCTCCCTATCGCGTAGTCTGACAGGCGCAACCAATAGTTCGGCCACCGCACAACACAACAGTCTTACTCCTTCCAGCGCTCCTCTCACCCGGATCATGCGACGACCGGTCACGAGGCATTACCACCCTGAACACCGCCTTTGCCAGCATCCTCCACTGCGCCTCATTGGAGTCAACGACGTTCAACCCCTCAGAGTACCCACAAACATCCATTTTCATTTATATTTCCACTCATGCATTAGCTTTTTATGCATCTTGACCTACCTTTTATTGAAAATTTACCCCGACCAGGTCTACGCAAGCATCCAGGATGGTTGGTTTTGTAGCTCCGCAGTCACTACGCAGCACTTGACTGTTGAGATCACAGTCGCTCGCTGGATCATGAGACTTGTCTTTTTTCATACTCACAAACCACTTCACATTAAGGTGACTCATCGGATATCGATTGTCTGTACCGTCTAGTGAGCGTAGCAGCAACTCATGTGCTGGCACCCACGTACACGCAAACGAACCTACATATAGGGAAACCGAACACAGCCAATACACACAAACTCGCGCGCGCGCAGATAGCCAGAGGTCAACCACTCTACCACGTACACGAAACGAACCTACATATAGGGAAACCGAACACAGCCAATACACACAAACTCGCGCGCGCGCAGATAGCCAGAGGTCAACCACTCTACACAAGTTCATGGACAATTATGGAACACGTGTAGCAGCCATACTGCAGAGAAAACACGTACCAGCCGTCCGGACTTTCACCAGGGAACGCTCACAGATGATTAGTTCCTCTTTTAACTTGCTCCCATTTCACATTACATTTATTTCTATACGTGTTGCGACCCACCACTGCCAACCATAGTAAAAACTTTCATTAGTGTAAATACCTTCTGAAATGTATAATGGCCATCATCAACAGTGCACTAATAGTTTCCTTTTCGGATATGCAACTTCACTCCCACCCAAATTACTCCAGGTTCGACCTACCTAAAGTGCTACTGGCATAATTCGGATGGGGTTACTACACTTACTTATCTCTTGGATCAATTGAACGTAAAAGTGTGCTCCCTATCTCCCCGTCGAACGATAACCTATAAGTGTAATTTATCACGATCCGAACGTAGGACTCCTTACTTTGTTCTGCGATTACTGTCACAGTAAATGTTCGACCGAGATTACTCCTATTTTGGAGTACTAGTTAATCGTGGCAACCGTTCGGTGCATAGCTACCGTGCAACAAGAAGGAAGTCCAACCATCATCATCATCATCATCATCAACGACAGCATGACATCGGTGTTCAACACCAATGCTTCACTGCCGTACAACCATGACTTATTTGAAAGCCTTATTGTAAAGAAAAGAATAAAGGTGGATGGGGGAGGGACTTAGTGCTAGCTTAACACAATCATTCCGAGGTGCCTACACCTCCAGACATTCACTCAGGCAATCTGGACAGAAACTGACAACAAGAACGCCACTGACATCGGTTGGCAGCCATATCTTGTAGTGTCTCCAACCAGGCACAGTGAGGATCACGCGGTCCCCATCCTGGAAGGCGAGTAGCACCGACAGCACCCAAGCGTTTCGTGATCTCCTTCATACTCCTCTGCCAGGTCATGGGGTGGGCCCCTCTCTGTTTACGCCACTCCGAATTGGGCATGGAAAACAGTCCTCTCTTCGGCAAACGATGGTTCGGCATGCGTAAAACATGTCCCAACCAACGCAGCTTCTGGTGCTGGGTACATTCTTCAATGGAAGTACCCGTTACACAACCGAAAACACGCTTTCTAACTGCTTCGTTACGGATTCGCTGACACCAACCCACACGAGCTATGGTTCTGAGACAACGATTGTCGAACACCTGAAGACGTCTCAGGTCCGCTGCTCGAATAGGCCAAGTCTCACAGCCATACAACAAAACAGCCCGTACTGTAGCTTGATACACACGTCCCTTCAGATTCAGGGATAAACCATTCTGACGCCATAGGTGTCTCAAGTTAGCAAACGCGGTCCGAGCCTTGCAGATTCGTGCATTCACCTCATCTGTCACACTACAGTCAGAACTAATACAACTTCCAAGATACGTAAAACGCTCCACAACTTCAAGTGCCTCTCCCTGGACTGTAAGTGGCGTGTTCAGTGACTGCACGTCCACAAGCATGACCTTACACTTTGTGGGTGCAAAGTGCATACCAAAGGACAGGATGACTTTGGTCGGTTCATCCAAAGAAGTCCAAGGGCTGATATACTACCGAGTCGCCGAAGCCTCAACAGTAATTATGAGAAAACAGAGTAAGATTTGAATGTTGGACTCTCATGTCAGTTTTTGTGTGCCTCAACCGCGGAGCCATCTGTCCCTTTATTCACAACTTCAAACGGGTAGCACATCTTTGTCCATCAAGCGACCCATATTACGCTTGCACTAAACAGTGTAGGACTGACCACCTCTTACCTTTTTCCAAAGAATATCCCGTCTTTGGAACTCTTTGCAACCCGTTCCTCTCCAACTCGTATAACCTACAAACTTCAAAAGTCGGGTTAGAGTCCGATTAATTCCATCGTGGAGTGTTATTCAGTGCATGTCTTTGCGTTGCATTCTGTCGTTATTTAGATGAAGCCCCTGATTATAAGTCGTCCTCTCCCTCGTAGTCCATTTGTCTTGTGAAAAGTGAATGATCGCTTTGGCTACAAATAATCCGCTGAAAAATTCAACATCTCAAAGTTAATTTGTTTGTATCAATTACTGATCGGTGTTTGCCTAAGGCAGATCAATGGTGCCTCTGTGAAGCGCAAGGAACCTTACTATACGTATTCACGTGACCCGATATTATGCGTCCACCGGCCGTTGTAGGGATCCAATCAAAGGACCAACGACATGAGGTTACTTGACTGCTGATACCAGGGAACCAGCGTAAGCATGCTGCCAAGATCGAATGATCTTATTAACTCCGAATGTGAAGATGAGTGCCTGAATTCTGGATGCTCATACGCGGCGGTCGATGTCAATGGTCTAGGAAACGTATCTTTATAGAAACAATGGTTGCAGCGATTGCCTGCGGTCATCAGGGCGACCTGTTCATGTTACATGCTCTTCATGTCGTTCCTGCTGCATCCCGGTCTCTGTTTAGACTGGTCACTATTTATCCAGATTATCTCCCAACGGAAAGTGAGCACGATTCGTCGTCTTACCCAAGTAAGCATACCAACGTTTTCTTACTCTTGATGTCCTCCAACGAAATCGCTCTCAGTCAATGGATCTTGACTTTGTTTACGTCAGCATGGCTACACCACACTAATCAAACTTTCGTTTCTGCCTTCTGTCGCGGCTAACCCAACTAATCTAGGCATAACTTGAGCCACATATCGTCCCTAGGCGAGTTTGTTTCGATTCGCTTATTGCGCCGCCACTATCCCGTACCAGATTCGATAACCATTTTGAGTGCATATCTACTGAATCCGGATGCTGTCCTAGCAGCTAGAAGTATAAAGGTCAACCAGTGCATAAGAGGCCTTTTTGTTATCGTTCGAACAAGTTCCGTTTGTACTTCAGCGAGACATTGCCGATGAATACCGATGTTGCGTTGTCGATGATGAAGAGGTTCGCTGGGACCGCACGTGGCCAAATTCTTCAGAACGCCGTGATGATTTAGCCATCGAGATAGATAATGCTGATCACGACTGCTTCTACGGTTACCTAGATACAAACAACCCGGAAAAGCAAGCTCGCCTATTATGCAAAAAACCGTGCTGCACATTTATTAGCATGGCCAACCTGTGCGCCAATGCACATTCTGGTGGGACATTCAAAAATGGCTCAGGCCTAGAGGATCACAAAGCTAGAGCGACCACATATTATAACCCATACAACCATTTCTACATCCATAGACCTGTTAATTTTCTCTCATTGGCGAGTTGGAAGATCGGTGACACGAAGATTACTTGGTCCGCAGCACTAGGCTTGTAACTCTGTCAGTACAATTGAGTTATGATCATGGAAACAACGGGTATTTCGCTCAAAATGGTCTGAAAGTTTCAGACACCACGCACCCCATTGTTTCTTTCGAGGTTATCTGTTCCAACGTAGGATTCAGCCACGGAGAAGCCGAAAATCTTCTCAATATATGGAAGCAAGTAACTGGTTCCCGGCACACCGAGAATTTTTGGCGGCCGCGTAACTACACAAGATGACAGAATCAAACTTCAATCCTTCGACTAAACTGAAAAATGCCTACATCAAAAACAAAACTAATTACCTTTAATTAGGGGAAGTGGTGTTAACTCTCGGTTAACTCCAACATTGAAGCGTGACGACGTGTGCAGTTTTTCTTTCTTTATGGATGCTGGTCCAGGGAGAGAGTTGAGTTTTATTAATTGCGTCGGTGGTGGGTGAGCTTCAGAATACGGACTGCTGTGAAACCTCAGTGGCGACTCATTTGCCGTCGGTGATGTACTGGTTGCGCAGGGAGTTTGTGAATTGGGTGTAGAAAAAGACGCAGACATAGTTCCGCTAATGAACTAGCACGTTATTGTAAGTTCACTTCGCAGAAACAGTCCACAGTCATATAATGTACCAAGAGCAATCTACACGGCCAAAACACGACCGCCGGAAGAAAAAGCCCGACCCTGAACCATCCCGAATTGCCCGCTTCTTCAGCTGGCAATCTAAAACAAGTGGAAAATTTTCATTAATCCTATCCGAAATAATGATGAAAGTTTTCAAACTGATGCCTTCGTTCTCAATTAAAGGGCCCATATGAAGCCATCAGACATCAGTAGCGCCATAACAACAGATAAGCATGTCATGACAATGTTTTTCGTCGTCAAACCTAAGACCAATGCACTGTGGAATTGTACGCAGAACTCATCTCCACAAACCTGCAAAACCGTCTAAAATTTGGCCGAATTTGCACATGGTATTTGGGAACACCACTAATTCTGACCTACGTCAAAGACCTTCCAGATGATTTTCACGGCCATGTTTAAATTGGCGCATGACTCGAATTTCAGGAGGTCACTGGTTCACGGATTGATACACAGGGTCAAGGTTTCGCCTAAAATTCCCCGGTCACTTTTATTCTTGTCGTCCAAATGCCATCTCTCTCCAAGTAGGTGTAGATGATGTAAAGCGGTGATTATTAGGCCGACACCCTCCACTGAAGGACGAAGAGTACGTTCGTCAGTCACTCGGAGGGGACTTAGCGGACTTCTTCCGACTTATTTTACCTGATTCTTATTTCTCTGGCATCCTTAGGGATTTTCCAACCCTTACTCATCCGTGTCAGTACACACAACCAATTACTCATTCCATCGTTTACCACATCCGGACGAGGGGTCCACCTGCCCACACCAACCCTCGCTGACTTCATTTGGATAGGCTTCATGTTTGAAACACGAGTTCGGATAAATACCCGAACTTGGCGTCATCCTTATTTCAGTGAGTCACTGGTCGTCACCCCTAGATATGGCACCCAAGAAATCCAAAGGTGATTGGAGACTTTGTGAAGATCACCGGTCTCTCAATAACGCCACTACTCCAGACAGCTATCCCATCCCACATATCCACGATTTCGCAAGTACCTTGAGCCACACAAACATTTCCTCCAAACTCCATCTCGTAGTGCATACTACCGCATATCCCTAGCTTCGGATGACTTCCCTAGAACAGCTGTCGCAACACCGTTTGGCCTTTTCGAATTCACGCGTATGCCCTTTGGTCTTCGAAATGCAGCCCAAACGTTTCAAAGTTTCACGGACGAGGTTTTACGTGGTTTACCTTCTGCGTATGCCTATCTTGATGATGTCTTATCGCAGGCACCTCTCCATCCATGCAGCAGCACGCAGCTAATCTCAGCAGTATTTGAACGTCTTTTCACTTACAACATAAGTTTAAACATTGAGAAATGCTTATTCGATGTTACTTGGCTAGAGTTTCCTGGACACCACTTTGACCACACAGGTAGTTCACCATTGCCCGATCGCATTTTGGCCCGGGAATCTTTTCCCATACCCATCACTCTCACCCAACTTCGTCGTTTTCATAGTTATCATCAACTACCACCAGCGATTGTTCCCCCATTGTGCAGATATTTTGCTGCCACTGACCGATTTACTTTGCCCCAAAGAAAAATCTGTCACCTTCCCTCCCGGCACCATTGCCGCTTTCGAAAGACCCAAACAAACGATTTCCCACGCCACAATGCTATCTGTCCTCGATACTCATGAAAGCACAAAGCTCATTTTGACGACTGATGCTTCGAACGCTCCCGTTGGCGCCGTACATCATCAAGTTGTTAAAACCGCATCTCAACCACTAGCCTTTTTCTCGCAGAAGATGCAGGCTGCCCAAACGCGTTACAGTACTTTTGGTCGTGAATTACTCACAATTTGCCTTGCTATTCACCATTTCCGGCACTTGTTAGAGGGTAGATCGTTTACCATTCAAACCGAACATAAGCTACTCGCCTATGCCTTCAACGCCAAGCCTGATCGATATTCACCACGCGAGATACGCCATCACTACTATATTTCACAGTTCACTGCCGACATTCGTTACACTCCGGGTTCGGACACTGCCGTCGCAGATGCCCTATCCCGTTATGACATCAGCGCTCTTCACCCTTCCACGCAGCTGGACCTAGCCAAGCTGGCTAACCTTCAAAATAGTGATCCTAATTTTTTGCCATTCTGTCCTTCCCTTCATTTCAAGTCTCTTCAATTCCCTTACCCCTCCAATGCGGAACCCCTTTTTGTGATATGTCTATAGTCTCTGCTCGCCCAATCGTCCCCGAAGCCCTTCGACGTGTTGTTGTCGACCATTTTCATGGATTTCCTCATCCGGGAATCAGAGCAACCAGGAAGTTGATGGGTGCACGCTTTGTAAGGCCATTCATGAATAAGGACTTGACATCCTGGGCCAAACAGCGCATCGCTTGTCAACGCAGTAAAGTAACTTGGCATACGAACTCACCTATCGGTTCATTTGCTGTTCCTGATGGTCGATTCACACACGTTCATCTCGGCACTGTTGGCCCACTTTCCCCATCAAACGGTTTCGCGTATATTCTTACCACGATCTATTGTTTTACCTGTTAGTCAGTAGCTGTACCCATTTCGGATACTTCAGCTGAAACGGTTGCTTTTTCATTTTTGCAGCACTGGGTGAGTAATTTTGGCATACGTCCCACCGTCAGTACCGGTCGCAGTTCACAATTCCAGTGTAATCTATTCCGTGACTTTTCTACACTATTCGGTTTACATCACACTGACTACCGCGTATTAACCCTGTTCTAACGGTCTGGTTGAGCGTTTCCATCGCTACCTCAAAGCTGAATTGACCGCCGAATGAACCCGTCTTCTTGGCCTTCTTCTTAACTACTCGCTCAACGATTAAGGGGAACCTTCACTGTTCACCGGCCAAACTAGTGTACGGTACAACCTTACGTTTACCCGGTGAACTGGTTTCCCCTTCTGTCGCACAGCCCGAATCACCCGTCACATTCGTCACCCTTCTGAAACACCATATGTCCGAACTTCGTGCGACACCGACCAAACGATGAACCCGAACAGAACACATCCTGGCCGATCTCTCTTTTACACCATTTGTATTTGTCCGACATGACGCAACTAAATAACCAATCCAACCCTGGTATGATGGCCCCTTCAAGGTTATCGAACGTCGCTCTAAATACTTTGTTTCGGGGAGAGGCGGAAGGGACGATACCGTCTCCATTGATCGTCTGAAACCTGCCTGCATTGGAGCAGTCGTGACCACATCCAGCAATCCTGCTATCCCAATTTTTGATTCGATACTTTAATTATTCGAGTGTTGTACACTTTCACGGTCAACTGTCTAGTGATGAAGTAGTGTGGCGTTTTGCACCTTTAATTTGCTTCCATTATAACACTACATGTTTCATCAGTTGCATGATCGTTTTTTGTATGAATACAAAAAACTACAAAAATACGCACTTGCAAAATTGCACAGAATACAATCGTGGTCACCTGCTTTGACTCTCTCCTGATTTCGCTCGCGTTTGAAGCGGTCATTCGCGAGCCTCATGTGCTAACTCCGGTATCAATACATTTCAGACTGTCTTCGGAATCTGTTATGCGTGGGAACTGTTCAGAAGATGACCTCTGGACCAACATAATTGGATTATTGTTTATTCGCTGACCTGGGCCAACGACGAACTATTTTAAAGAAAACAATTTTTGGTGAGTCTCTTTAATCTGACCTCTTTATTATTGTATACCCAACCTAGCGTTATTATTTTTATTTCTTTGCCGCACACCCCTAGTGAACTAATTTATTGGGTAACCAGACAACTACGCGGGCCTCAAAACCGCGGATTATGAAACGCGCCACCTGCTGCTTGAGACTCTCTATATGAGTATCTTCGCATTCAATGAGACCTAATTTTCACTTAGAACAAGGCTTGGACAACAGGTTTCTCGTCATTGATCCGGCAAACACATGGGGGGCATATTGGAAGATTTTTACGCTCAGAGAGCACGATTCCGTTAAGAAAAATTTATCATTTCGGATGGTCGCTGCTTGGAATAACCTTCCCACGACGGTTGTCCACGCCTCATCTAGAACCCAGTTCATAGCACTAATAGGTACCTTTCTAGCACTAGCAAGCTTTCTACCCTGAGCTAGTAACTTAAAGGGCAGTGATTCTACCAGCATACAACGGATGACCAACAGCGATCATGGACAAACCGGACTACATCGACAAAGCGAAAGCGCTACTCAAATATACAGCCCCGCTTGGAGCGCAGCGAGAGCAAGCAACTAGCAAATGAAATCAATAAGAACTTAAGAAGGCTCCACGATCTTCATAAGTTTGCAAAAGAGGTATATTGGAGAATGAGAACTCGGGATTCGACCACTCCCCGTTTCTACGGATTACCTAAGTTATACAAAGAAACATCACCCCCGACCAATAGTATCACTCCCGAGAACGGCGACCTAAAGGCCTTCGAAATAACTGTGGAGGAGGTTGGGACATCTCTGCGGTGGGTTCCTACATTTTATCAACGACGCGGGACAATTTTTGGGGGGAGTGAAAACTTTAGCATCAATAAGGATGAAATACTGTGAAGGTTGAATCTCTTACCTCCAGCGAGGTTTACGTAACTAAACGTCCTCGCAGATAACACCGAGCATCTGCTCCGTTTGATCTCTCTTCCACATTTTTCTAAGTGAGCGAATAAAATCTTCAGTAAGTTCTTTTCTGATTTGCTTGACCACATTTGGAAATAGAAGACTGTCCCAGACAACACGGCTGTCGGTCGTTTGCGTTTTCCAATAAGTGTCTCGAAGTAAGTGTGTTAACTACAGTGAGGGCAGCTTAACCTCTGTTGTAACAGGGCTTTTGACGTCACATGTGCCTTATCGTCTTGTGATTGCTCGTGAATAACTCACTCAGAGGTAGCAGGCGAAGTTCTGCCTGGTAGGTGCTGGAACAACGCCATACGCACAAACGAGCTGGCGTTGTAGTATTTCTGGATTTCCAGCGCGCATTCTATTCAGATTAGCGGTTCGTTAACTTTGACACGCTTGCTGATCAACGGATGACCCGACGGTCCCCGATCTTGAAGCGTTATTGTTCCTCTTAGTTTTCTGGACTTAGTAGAGTATATGGAGAGC